AAGCAGGGAGGGAACCAGGAATCCAAAGAATCCAGCAATCCACAAGAACAGGTGCACCAGGCAAGGTATGTTGCAGCATAGGTGGTATGATCTGACCTCAGACAGGGCTCTCAATCAACTGAGCTTCTTTGAAGTCTTTTGCTTTTGGTTAGGACTTATAGTGACCCTCTTTTTGAAGATGGTGGCAGCACAGAGAAGCTGTAGTTTGTCTCCTAAAATCGGCAGTTTAAAGGAGTTTAAGGAGTTCAAAAAAATTTAAACAGTCTTCAAACTACGACCCTCTACTGCCTCAGGATTGCTGCTCGCCGCTTGTTTTACCCCGGATGTTATCCGTTACCTGTTCTTGTGGATTGCTGGATTCTTTGGATTCCTGGTTCCCTCCCTGCTTTTGTTTATTAAGTAAAGATTTTTTAAAAAAAAAAATAAGGAAAGAAAAGGAATTGCACTTAGACACAGACTGCTTCTACAAATGTGTTCAGCATTTCATCTTTTAACCAGGTCTGAGAAAGTGCAATGGGAGTTTTACAAGTGTAAATGACACAGTAGAATCTTGGACTGTGACTAAAGCAGGGTAGGCAACTTTTGGAGGCCTGGGTGGGAGAATCTATTTCTCACACCCATACTCGACTATCCCTCACTTAATGCAAAATTGCTTTAAAGCATAACATCAGGCCTGTAATGGTTCCATTTGGGATCCTCCCCAATTACAGTATTTAAAAGATGGTGTGAGATTGATCTGTTTGGAATTGGTTGCCAAAGCTGCAAACATCGTCTATTGGATCAGCTTGCTAGAATTTGGGATGTTGGCATAACAATAGATTTTACATGTTATATATGTTTTGAAGGCAATTTATGGTTAAATATGGATTAATAAAATAATTATGTCTCCTTGGTCTATTTTGGAATGACAAGTTTACTGAAATGCTTGGTTCATATTCTTTGATTTCACTGACTTGAATATGTGCAATAAAGGTAGGAGTATCATGCCACAGATACTTTGCTACATAGGCCCAGAATCATACATAAGCCTATGTATTTGAATAGTAATAAAGAATAGATAGACTCTGTGAGCACTTTGTTTTTGCTAACATCTGGAGACTGACAGGCAACAATGAACATAGACACAACAATGCTGCACATACTCCAACTACTCCCAAACCAACTACACCCGAGCACAGAGTGCTTTCCTCTGAAGATGCCAGCCACAGAGACTGGCGAAACGTTAGGAAGAACAACCTTCAGAACATGGCCAAAGAGCCCGAAAAACCCACAACAGTCATTAGAACCTGGTCGTGAAAGCCTTCGCGAATACAACTCAGAGGGACTTATTGTCAACTAAAAATATATAATAATTGCTTAAGAACAATATTCATTGTGTATTAATATGGGATACTGTGAAGTTTGTGGATGAGGATTGAGTATAGAAGAATATTATAATTTAAGGAAACAGCAAGAAAAAGGAGTAAATAAAGGAAAATATAAAAGAGATACCTAGAGATATCAAGAGAATCAGGGAATTGCAAGCTAAAAAAATGCTACAAGGTATTCATTTAGGAAACAGTTAAAAGAAATGTAATATATTAGTAAAGGGAGAATTTTGAATTCTGCAATAACTCCAAATTGCTAGCAAGACTAATTCAGGTGAAAAACGCCAAAAAAACCCACACACCAAGCCAATAGGGTTGATTGAAAATGTAAAGGGTATTAGATGTAACAAAATGCAAAAGCTGAGGCCTTTCAAGATCTTTTTAAAGGTAAGAACTTTTTAAAGGTAAACAGTAAGGTATCGATAATTAAAATTAATACAGTGGTTCCTCGCATAGCAATCGCTCCGTTTTACGATGAAATCGCTTTGTGATGGACTTTTTGCCATCGCAAGAGCGATCGCTTTGTGATGGCCCCTATGGGGAAAATTCGCTTTGCGATGATCGTGGGGGAGCGCTCCCCCGTGATCATCCCAAAGGCCCTGCTGATCAGCTGTGCGAAAATGGGGCCTTTGGGATGATCACGGGGGAGCGCTCCCCTGTGATCATCCCAATGGCCCCACCGATCAGCTGTGTGAAAATGGGGACTTTGGGATGATCTCGCTCCCCGGTGATCATCCCAAAGTCCCCATTTTCACACAGCTGATTGGCAGTTCCAAAATGGCCGCCCGCTGTTTTGCCTTGCTTTAGAGGCGCTGAAAATGGCTGGCCCATGGAGGATTTTCACATAAGGTGAGTTTTTAAGCCCATAGGAATGCATTAAATGTGTTTTAATGCGTTTCTATGGGCTTTAAAAA